CAACATTCTACTAACTTGTTTTCCTGGGCGCAGTCCCTATTCGCCGTACCTCGAGGCCTACACACTTACATCCAAACCCAGTTTTTACCGTCCGTGTCGCAGCTGCGAAGGACCCCTTTCTATTACCTTTCCTCGCTTGACTCCATTGAGGGTCGAGCGGGACTCGAATCTTTCACTCCCATCATAGCCATTTCTTTCCACTATCGCGCAACTTATTTTCCATCCAACTCCTATCTCACTAATCTAGAGCTCCTACTAACGCTACCATTAACTTCGCCTGGCCTAAAAAACCATATCAACTACCTTCCCTTATTTAGTTCTATCAGAAATCGGGTAGTATTGTTGATTTTCTAGTTCCTTCTCGCTCACCTCCGGCATTTCCTCCGCGCAGCTGCTTCTCTCACTAACCCCCTATCGACTAATTCTCCTCAGAAAATTTACATTAGAATCGGGGTCGCCACGGTCTAAAACCCCGAGATCGACCTTTATTTCGCCCGTTTTCGTCTACTAACGGACGAGAATGGTTATTTTCTATGTCTCCTTCCCTTCATCTTCGACCACCCCCGTGCACTCACTTTTGTACCCACCTCACCCCTCACTAACTATCACGCTAATCTGACCGTAGATCTCGATTCGCCCGGGAAAAAAACCCCAGAATCGGTTTCTTCCCTGCCCGATTCTATTAAGAATCGTGTGCGCCAACCTTTTTCCATCTGCCTAACTTACCTCCCCGCCATCTCCCTTGCTGCACGCACCTGGAGCGGAACCGCACCAGGTTCATCCCTTCGTTTTCCCGCAGTTTCCTTTCCTGCAGACCCCGGCCCAGGTTCACCTTCTCCCTTCGCTACTGCGGCCCGTCACCCGCTGTCTGGCACTCCACGCTCTACCTCCGCTGCCCTGCTCGTGGTCCCTCCTCACTTCTGTCGTCCTCACCGTCGAAGGCACCCGGCGCAATATTGCGCCCGGGTTCACTCGTCCCCCACCTCGATTATACCTCCGGTCCGCTTGCTAGCTCCGACCCGCCGTAGTCCGCTGCATTGTCTGGCCTGCCTAGCGCCCGCTACTCCTGCTAGCGCAGCCCAGCCCCTACATCGTTCTGCCACGGCTCACAGTCTGCGCCCACCACCACTTCACGTCCACATTCACCCCCTCGTTCCGTACACACTCACTTCCGACATAGCCCGCTCCCTCCTTCGTATGCACCCGGCGCGCTTTCAAGCCCGGGTTCACCCCTTCCTTTCGCCTGCCTGTTGCAGCAAACGCAGCGTCCACTGCCTTGTCTTGGTCCCTCGTCGCTAGCTGTGCCCAGCTAGCCTCCCGCCATCCTCACTATGGCTGTACCCGGCGCAGGGCCCCTGCCAGATTCATTCATCTGTTATTGCCGTCGTCTCCGCCTCCCCGTCGTTTCTTCCTCGTTCGCCCCGCTCTCTTTGACTTTCCCCGAATTCTCTTCTAACGCTGCCTGGTCTTCACGGTCGTCGCCAGACTGCACGCAATCTCAAACGCCACGAGGCTGTGCCAGCCGGTTCATATAGCAGGACGCTGGTCACAGAGATGGGATCCTCTAGAGAGTGTGTAACAACTCTCCTATGAAGCAGATCCGCTCGACAACGGATAACACTGGGCTACGCAACCTGCCCCCGGTTCCACTGGCCCTACAGCCTAAGTCTAACGCATGGGCCTAGGTGGAACGGGGCCGCTGCAGATCTTGGTAGTAGTAGCAATTTTTGAGGACTGAAGAGGGTCGGTTCCACGTGACAGCTACTGCAGCAGCCTCCCACAGTGCCCCGGGTCATCCCGCCCGGGCACAGTTCACCATCTTGCGGGCCCCAATGAGCGTGCTCACACTCAAACCTCTTCGCAGCGGGCGGCGGGTGGGCGGACAGTGCACCTGCAGCAGATTCCCGTCACTTAGTTTCTTCCGCCTCATGGGCTAATCTTCCGCTGGCTCACATGCGCGTTTATTTCCCCGGCCCATCATCTGGGCCCTTCTTGGTCTATATTTCAACAGTTCCGGGGTGTATCCACTAGCTAGGCTCTTGGGTGCCCGCCACATCTGCGACACAGCGTCCCAGGCAAACCGGTGTCGGGCGCGGCTCCGACGTACCCACGAAAACAGTTTGTAATTGAACTTCAGGCAACCTGCAAATACAACACACCCCCACGTGCTCCTACCGCAGCCTCGCGTCCCAAGACGGGATGCGACGGCGAAGGGACTCAGAACAATACACAAAAGGGGAATAAAGTTAAAACATCAGTAACATCAGGGAACGACGGGATCGTTGGCACCTCGCCAGTCCTGCGGACTGGGCCCGCCGCCGCACGCATAAGCAAAAAAAAAACGAGGGGGTTAGCCCCAAAGGGCCCTCAACCCTTCGGTTTCCTCCACGACGCTCCGCTGCTGCCGCGCCGACGTCCGCTGGCCTCGATCCCCGAACCTCTGTATTGCCAACCCAAATGTCGTAACCTATAGGGCTAAGCCCAAGCCTGATACCAGCGCCCGCAAAGCGCCATACAAGGTAGTGCAGCGCGACAGTTTTGTCCAATAAAACCGCCTGCGCGGCTCCCAGTGCCCGTGCCGGCTGGCTTATACCGTGCCATAACTGCCCGGCGCGCCATCCTACGACACCCCGCTTACCGCACAAGGTCGTACCATCGTTGTCGATGTCGTCGTTGGGGTCGTTCTTCGCACGCGCGCTCGACTCGGTCAAATGTACCAATCAAAGAAAATATCCTTAATTCCTGCTTAATCAAAAATAAATAAATAATAATATCACCAAGCAAAATGACCGAGGTCCGAGCCGGCTACTACGATCAACAACAGAAAGGAATCACGCACGCCTTAAACCTGCGTGCTCACGCACTCGCTATTGTGGTCAACCATCTAGTCAACGCAATTACAGACGCAGCCGCGCTTAGCGCGGTATACTTAGACTTTAAACCAAAACAATTTTTCTATTACTTGCAAAACCCAGGGCGGATACCCTTGTAAGGGTATTCGCGCCGACAGCTTACCGGACCATATTAAGCGACGTCCCCGTCGCTTCGCCAAATCAGAAAGCTATAAATCGACTACACTCCAAATGCTGACGAAACAGGAGCCGATCCGATTAGCCGACAAACACAGGGTAGAGACCTTCATCAAAACTTGCCTCCACAACTATATGCTGCCAGGTTTCTAACCTGGGCCTCTCACCGCCTAGAAATTAGGACGCTGACCGCATAAGTTCCAAAGACCTTCCCAATCGTCCTCTCCCCGGTCCTAGATAATCTTCGGCTTCTCGTTGGGTGTCCCTAGTCCTGGCAAAAACTAGGGACGCGGGCCTTAATCGAGACCTTTTGAAGGCACTCTCGCCTTCCTTCTTAAAATCTCTCGCAATCGAAAACACATACGTATATACTTAATATCCGCTCAGCTCTTTCTGCAGTCTAGTACAGAAAGGCTAGGTCCTCACCTTGGCCCACCATAGCCTGGCTGATCGGACCAGGACCACGGCCCACCGCATTGTTATTTAGCAGCAGTACCCTCGTTGGTTACGCAATGATAGGTCTTCTCCTGATAAGCATTCAATCAGGATTTCCCCCAAAAATTCTCAACCATCACTATCCCGCGGAGTAATTTCGCTAGGGCGGGCACCACCCCTTAAACTCTTACCGTCAGACTTTATCACCCATCAAACAACTCGCCATGCCATAAATTTGTTTACTCACCTCTGAGGGTGAGTCTTCCAACCATAGACCATTCCCCTTTTCCAAAAATCCAAGGGGCTCTCATTATAAATAAAACACCCCCTCTTCCAAAAATCACGAGGGGTTTCGCCACAGAACAAAACACTCCCTCTTCCAAAAATCACGAGGGGTCTTATTATAACCCACATTGTCATAAAAGCATCCCCTTTTCCAAAATCCAAGGGGGCTTATCATAAACAAAATCATTGAGAGACCATCTTTTGGGTCCTCATCACAGCTTAGGCATTAAATAATCAACATCATAGGCATTTTGAGCCTCCTGGGTTCATAAATCTTCAAAATCCTCACAACCTTTCTTTGACGGACTGCACTTCCTCCCCTTATACTCCGCTCTATCAGCTGCCCGTGGGCAAGTCGCACAAGTATACCGAGGAGTAGACAGTTTTACTTACAATCATATTCACAATTCCGAAGATACATAAAAGGTTTTTCACACATTGTCCACACAAACTCATTACACATTAGAGTACAACCACACATGTGAGAGAGACAAGTGATCGTCACATATAAGAATGGTCCCTGAAAGAAACCTCATCATGATATACACTCAGGGAAATAAAATGTCTCACACAAAAAAAAATGTCTCGAAATCATAACTCACTCARCTCAAGCCACACCAAACCCACACTGACAACTACCCCTAGAATACATGTCAGATCTGTCTCTCAAAMGCCAGGGCGTAAGCCACCTATAATATRTRCATGCCTCATCTAGATTACCCTGATCCTCAAGTTTCCAGCTCAGTAGGAACAYTAGAGTTCAGATCTAGACTAGTAACAATCCTCATAAAAGCCCTCTAGGTCTAAGAGGGTATCACACAGAACCTAAACTGATGCCTCACAAGATACTCGCCCACTTATATAGACAAACCGACCCTACCTCTTCAACTCCTCCTGGTTTTGCCTATATAACTGAGCCCTAAGTCCATCTGCGGACTTCTCTACCATCCTACCCTGCCTATCATACATCTTACCCGCTGCCTCTGAGACCTTTCCTTCTGCCTTATCCTCAAGGAACTCGAGACAGTCCAGAGCATGATGCACGTCCCTCTTGCAGTAGAAACATAGCTGATCGACCTTCCTCTTGAACTTCTTCTTCTTGGGTTGAGGAGGTGGTGATGAGGAAGATCCTACCAAGGTACTGACAACCCCCTCCTGCTCTGTCCCAGGAGTTGCGGTACTAATGACCTCGTGCTGCTCCATTCCAGGAACCGGTCCCCCAGACCCAGATCCTGTAGCCCAAAATCCCAGTCTGCTCCTCAAATCCCCTGTCACCGAGACGTACTCAGGTGTGTCCAACCTCTGAGGTCTCTTCTCGAGTGTCTCTCTTGGCACTGCCATGGGCTGCCTCAATCCCTATCTGTCTCTCAAGAGGCTCCTCTATCCTCTGCTCAGGTGAAAACAAACTCACCTCCTCCTGCATAGTATGCACCGCCTCAAGGAGCACGCCCATGGATCCCTCTGCTGAGCCCTGAGCCGGCTCACTGCTAGATGGTCGCAGCCCCTCCTCTACTGCCAAAGATACGACTGAGCCTGCCGCCGCCACTGACAGCGTCGCGAGCTCAGTAGGGTCTCTAAACTCGAACGCCTCTCTCTCTGCCTGTCTCTGGGCTCTCGCCTCCTCTGGCTCCAGGATAATTCTCCCCATAGGTGGCTCTTGGCGAGGCCCTTCCGCAGATGACTGTCCTGGCAAAACTTCTCCCGGCTGCCTCTGCTCTCCCTGTCTGCTGCTCTCTGACTTATCCACTTTTTCTTGGGTCTGCTGCCTCAGGCTCTCAATGATAGCTGCCTGACTGACCACCAATGCCCTGAGTTCCTGGATTTTCATCTTCATAGCCTCCAGGCGTACTCCATGACTTGCTTCCTTTAATTTTTTCCCTGCCAGATCGCTCTCCAATAACAATTGTCGGTCAAAGGTCGTTTTGGCCAGGAACTTGATTTTGCGATCTATCCTCTCTTTCGCCTTCCTGGCCACCCCAAGCCCGGCTCTGACTGGCGAAGGAAGCTCCTCTCCTCTCTGCTCCCAGAAGTCTCTCCACATCTCAGGGATCTCCGGGGCCCTAGCTGGCGCGCTGGGTGGCTGACCTGGGAGTGCTCCTGCTGCCTCCGATCTTTAACTCTCCTGTTGCTGCTCCGGAAGCTCCCCCGCTGCCTCCAACCTCTGCCTCTCCTGCCATATCTCATCTATCCGTCTGGTTTTTCTCGCCCTCTTTTCTTCAGCCATCTCTCCAGCTGGCGCCCTTTCCCTCGTGTGGAGGTCGACCCTCTTCGGGATCTCTGCTTCCATTTCCTTCTCGGGTTGGTACGGCTCCTGGCGTGGCTCTGCAGGTGCTGGCTCCTCCAGGTCTGGATGCTCCAGGGCATAAGCTGCTAGGTGCCTATCAATCTGGGTAAAGGCTTCCCTCCTTACAGCTGCCCTTTCTCTCCTCCTGCCGACTCTCCCCTCTGGCGATGGAGCCCTCTCTGATGAAGGAAGTGGGGCCTCCTCTCTCCTCAATCTCTCCTCTGCCTGACAAATGCTCCCTTGTGCATCCCCGAGTCTCAAACCCACCGCTGGCGTCTGTGTGGCGTGTCCTCTCCAACCTCTATCACTTCCTTCCCTGCACGTCTCCCCACGTCGCCCACCCTGCTCTCTCGCTGAGTACCCTGCGCCTCCTCTCGTGGCACCTCCTCTCGTGGCACCTCCTCTCGTGGTACCTCCTCTCGTGGCACCTCCTCTCGTGGCACCTCCTCTTGTGGTACCTCCTCTCGTGGCACCCCTTCTACTCGCTCTTCATGCTTCTCATCCTGAGGCGACGCTCTCCACTGAGAGATATCCAGATGCGTCTCCAACTCCCTCAACGGCCCTTCAGACACTGGCGGCTCCTCCCGTGTGTGTGCTGGTGACCTCCTCAATCCACCCTCAGTAAAACGATGGAACTCCACTGGTCCCAACCCATACTCAGGGTATGCCCCTCGCTCTTCAACCTCTGGCTCCCGCTCCAGCTCCTCCTCTCTCCTGGCTAGGGCCTTCCGTCCTCCCCGAGACAGTCTCGCCTCCCTGGGCTCAGGGTCCCTCAGCCTCTAACTCCTCTGACGCCTCTCAACTCTGGGCAGAGGGGGCTCTGGTCGTCGAAAGGCCTCTCTCAGATGCGCCCTGAAGCTCTCCCAGTCCCGGGCCATGTCCCTGACCTGCGTAGCTAGTGCCCTCTCCGGCTTTCTGGTCCAGAGGGGTAACGTCCTCGCCCACTCATCTCTCGGTATACCCTGCCCCTGCATGAACCACTCGAAAGCAGGGATGAAGTCTGCCACGTTTTCGATCTCTAGATGGATCGGCCTGCCATCTGGTCCCATAGGCGAGGTTTGGAGCTCCTGCATCCTCCACTCCACCTCTGATCTCGTCGTCGCCTCTCTACGGATCCGCGCGACGGGCTCCTCGAATCTGCCGACTCCCCTCAGTCCCTCGATTGCCTGGGCCACGGTCCAGCCCATACGCCTCGCATGATCCCAAAAATTGTCCAGGAATAGCTCGATGTCCCCATCATCGTATACCGGAGTACTCTCTCGATGGCGAGACCCATGTTGCTTATATCCTCCTGATGCTCCCAACGGCCTCCGAGGCGGCCGTGTCCCCCTCCCTCCTCTTGGCATGACTGTCTTCGTAAAGTCAGACCTGCACAACAGGCGAAGGAGACAACAGGCACACATTGGGGTAAGCAAAACAGGTGATAATCAAGCAAACTTAGACCAGACCACACTCACACAGCATGCATCCTACCTAACCTACACACCCTGCTACTTYTATTCTAAAGGCAGTCAGGTCGTCTCTCTTACCTCTTCTCTCGCCACGAATTTCTTCAGTCGCGTTCCAGATACCCAATCCTKCCACTCAGTCYCATTTAGCTCCTCWATCTGATACGCTCCGAAGTCTCCGACCCGTACGATCCGGTAGGGACCTAACCACCTCTTATCGAGCTTCCTGGACCATTGCTTCTCCAGTGATGAATCGTAGAGAAGCATGACATCTCCAACTGCCAAGGCTACTTTCCTCACCCGCGCAGATTGATCACATCGAGCCTTATCGTCCATACGACTTCTCGCCACCTGGTCAGACGCCTCCTGGATCCTTTCTTCTATCGCCCCTATCTTCCACGCCCGAATATCGAGCAATTCTTCAAATGACAAGTTAACTTTCAGATCCTGACGCCTCCATGTCTTAAAAAAACTCTCGATAGGGAAGGTGGCGTGCCTTCCATACCACAGTGTCACCGGTGCGTACTTGGTGGATCTTTTTATTGTAATGTTCTCGACAAAGAACGCCGCCCTTAGGTATCTTGGCCATTGATTAGACCTACCTTCGGTCCACTTAGCCAGGAGACTCGTAATGGTACTATGTCCTCTCTCTACGGGAGCATTTGCCTGGGGGTGCGCGGCCGTGGTGTAGTTGGCTGCTACACCATACGTTGATAACAATTATTGCACCTCCTGGCAGGTAAACTCCGATCCCCTGTCCATTACGAATTCCCTGACGAAACGGTAACGCAGGTAATATTCCTCGATGCAGCTCACTAAGACTAACCCGGTCTTGGTGCGAATAACACGCCCGTCTACGAACCCAGACAGGTTATCGCGCGCATCGAAGATATAGTTATAGCCCTGATCCCCAAGTGGCATAAAAAGCAGATCGAGATGCACTACGGCCCCCACCTCTCGCTCTAACCTTGGATGCAGCGACTCTCCCTCTCTTAAACGGGATCTGTCCTGGCAAGGCACGCAGGACCGACAGAATTTCCCGACCATGTCCATCATTCCATCCCAGTAGTACAACTCACTTATCTTGGCATATGTGGCTTGTACCCCTCGATGCCCTCCTGCAATGCCATCGTGAAGCGCTGGTACGACGTCGATCTGACGATTCCTACCGCAGACGACCCTCCTGGGATTTCCCACTTCTCTTCTCACGAAAAGGTGGCCGTCTCGTACTAAGTAGCGCTGCCGCATCCTCTGATGCTGCAGCGCTACTTAGTGCGAGACGGCCACCTTTTCGTGAGAAGAGAAGTGGGGAATCCCAGGACGGTCGTCTGCGGTAGGAATCGTCAGATCGACGTCGTAGCAGCGCTCACGATGGCATTGCACGAGGGCATCGAGGGGTACAAGCCACGTATGCCAAGATAAGTGAGTTGTACTACTGGGATAGAATGATGGACATGGTCGGAAAATTTTGTCGGTCCTGCATGCCTTGCCAGGAGAGATCCCATTTAAGGCAGGGAGAGCCGCTCCACAGAAGAAGCCCCAGTTCTAGGTAGATCCCGTCGTACTCCTCTGCACGAAAAGCCTCCTTAATCTTCCCCTCCTCGAACTCGTCGTCCTGGCTCTCGGGCACTTTGTCCACATTTTCTGTCGAGTTCAACGAGCCTGACTAGTCGAGGCCTTCCTGCAATAACGTGTTGACGAGGAGATACATTCCTCCCATCAGGTCCTCATGCCGTTCTACCTGGCCAGGTCCTTCCTCAATTGTTCTCATGTCGTCCACCAGGCTATGCGAGCTGGCCAGCGCTAGCTCCATCATCCACTGAACATCCTTATCGCCCCAGGGATCTTCTTCCTCAAAGGGCTTAAGGACTAGCTCATTCCTCCTTTCATACCCCTTCGGCGCTTGCCAGATAGGATAGCCTACACAGCTGGGCACTCGCGGTGACCACTTGTTGATATGAAGACGAACATCTTCTTCCTGATCCAGAAATCCATCAACTGGGGGCGTATTCTTCACCGCCTCCCCTTCCTGTTTGTCCCAGTTGATCCGACTCAGCCCGTCCGCCCGGTTCTTATGACCAGGAATCCGTTCTAATTCGAAATTGAACATCCAGATGTACGTCAGTCATCTGACAACCGTCGGATCCGATGGAACGTAATTCCTTAGAGAGTAGGCCAGGGCAGTCGGATCCACTCTCAAAATAAACCTCGTGCCGAAGATATAGTTCCGGAAAATTTGCAGACAGTGGAGGACAGCAAGGGTCTACCTCTTGAACTGAGAGTATTTCCTTTCCGTCGTACAGCGAGTCCGGCTATCAAATCGCAAGGGTCTTTTCTTTCCTTCCATGTCTGCCTGAATTAGAACTCCCCCTAAGGCAGTCAGTCCCGCATCCGTTTTGACAATGAAGGGTCACGTCTCTGTGGCGTCAATATCTGGTGCTCCTAATACCAACCCTCCTTCTCGAAATTCCTCCTTCATTTTTGCCACCACCTCTTCTTGTTCCTCACCCCATACCCATTCCTGATCCTGACGGACTAACTTYCTCAGGTGTTCAGTCTTAGCGGCAAAGTTCTTGACGAAGGCCCTCCAAAATCCACACGTACCAAGGAAGCTCCTGACATCAGTTATTGAGTGGAACGGAACTGGTCACTCAGTAATTTTGTCCGTCTTCTTCAGATCCGGCCTTCGGCCCTTCTCATTGCAGACGATCCCCAAGATAGTCGCTTCCCTCATGCAGTGTCTGGATTTGGCCCCGATTGCCATGAGGTTATGCTCTTCGAGCAGGTTCAGGACCTTTTCGAGGTCCTGGATGTGTTTGCAGATAAAGTGTGTTACCCCTGGTGAGACTTCGTCGCTCTCTTTCATCGCCGGCCCCTTCACTGACAAATCGTCAATGTATGGCTGTGTGATATGGGGGTTGACTGACTGCATGGCCCGAATCATGGCCCATTGGACCATTGCTACTGCGTTGGTCCACCCTTGTGGGGCCACGTTCATGTGGACTAATCCTCGCGGCGTGTGCATAGCCGTCACCGGCCTATCCGGCAGATAGACTGGGAACTGATCGTATCCTCAGTAAAGGTCTATAAGCGAAATTATAGGCCTTCCAGCATAGGATTCTGATAGCGCGTCTGCATTCGGCAGTCCTCCAGCATCTCACACGGTCACTGCATTCAATCTTTGCAAATCCTGCACCCACCACAGCGTCCCGTTAGGCTTAATAAAGCAGAACCATGGGGACGCATACGGTCCACTTGAATAATCGGCGACGTGAGTACATATCTTGCCGTCGAGGTAATCCACCACCTTCCTTTCCTCGTCAGGATTGGGATATCGCGCTCCTCTCATGTTCCAAGGCTCGTGTGGCATAGTGTGGATGCGGATCATAGGTATCTTATCCACATTCAGCCTTCCACGCTCCTCGTCACTAAACGCATAGGCATGATGCTTCCTCTTCATTAATTCCACCATCAACGTTCGCTCCTGAGGCAGCAGGAAATCAGACTCCCCTATGATCAACTCTTTCTCGTTCCCTTCGTTGATACGACATGGCCCTGCTAAAGCACTTTCTCTCATTCGTCGTATCAACCCTCGTTCCCTCTCGTAATATGCTTCCTCATCCTCTGTAACGAGGACGGGTACCGGGCGGCACTTCTTGTCTACCGACTTGTATCGCCTTTGGGAACCCTGCTTGAGCTGTCCCCTAAAAAAAGCCGACTCACGGATTGTGTTTGCGCTGATGCGGGGTTCCCTCCGCTGCCTGGAAGCCGATATACCAATTCCAACCTTCCTGCCTCAGGGCATTCCAGAACTTGCTCCCTCAAGGTTTGGATGGCATCCGGATCTGCCATCTCATGCGCGGCCACCAGGTCCATGGCCTTCCCAACATCTGACAGGCTGAGGGGAAATGCTTCCACCCTCTCTCCTGCTTCGGGCTCTACCCAGAGCCTCCTGCGCTCCCCTTCCGACTCCTCGATTGTGAATGATCCTGGATTGGGCTGGTTCCGTATACTCCTTGGCCCGGTGTTCCTGCAAGTAATTATTTCATAATTCCTGCAGGCAGGATCGCATAAGAGGAGGATCAACATCCCATCATGTTTGTTGAACATCACGGTCTCTGTCCTGCTTAGGAATGACCTCCCCAGGAGGATTCCATGGTCCACGTCCGGCATTATGAAGAAGCATGCCCTGGCCTTCACCTTTCCAACCTCGACGAGCACATTTGAGGCTATCCCGCAAAACACGGCCTTACAGCTGGCTCCATGCAGAATACCGCAGTCAGAACGGTCTATATCCAGCCCGAATCTGATCGCGTCCGCCTCCCAAATAATGTTCATCTCTGCCCCGGTGTCCACCATTGCTGCGCACTTGGAACCCTTCATCATCAAATCCACCGTACCGCAGGCTACTCACTTCCAGTCCATCTTCGTACCTGACTCTGCCCACTCTGCCTCCTTGGGCAGGATCGTACCGAAATGGACATTGGGCACGAGACGCCGTGATAACCTCCCCTTCAGTTCATCATGGAGTCGTGGGGCTGACGCTAGGATTTCCTTCAGGGTCATGAGGTCATTATGCCCTTCCAGCAGCCGGTCAATCACCTTCTCTACGTCAAATCCCTCTTCCAACCGGACCGCGTATTTCTTCTTTTTAGGCGGTCCGTCATGTATGACCGGTTCGGCCTCTCCCCTGGTTCCCTTTTTCCTTGACCGCTGCTCTGCTCTCTGATCCTCTTTTCTGCGCAGTCTCTCGTCCTCTTCCTCTTCATCATCGTCGTCCTCTACTTCCACAGCCTCTTTCCTTCTCCCTGGTTTGGGTTCCCTCCTTGGAGGCTCTTCGCTAGCACTGGCCTTGGCTTGATTCGTTGTTCGCGCTGCCTGTGCCAGCCGGGCCTGCGGAGTGAGGGGTCTCTTCCTCATTCCCGATTGTGGGCACGACCCCACCATATTTACTCCGGGTCGCCCAGGCGCTGACTCTGGGCCGGAGTCATAGAGGAATACTGTGGGGATGTTAGACCTCCATCCCTTCACTTCCTCACAGAGGCCCACCAACTTCTGTTGGTACCTCCCCATCTTATCCAGCAAGTCCTCCATCTTCTCAAATAAGACGGACAGAGGCTCCGTTCTTTCCTCCTCATCCTCGTCATCTGACTCGATGATTATGACCTCTTCCGTCTCACTTCCTCCTCGTAGCCCTTGAGTCACTTCCTCATCGCTTCCCACTTCTTCCAACCCAATCGGTGGTTCCTCCTTTTCCTGCCATAGCCTGAACATGGCAGGGGGTGGCGGCCCAGCTGCCGCTCTTCGTTGGGCTTCAGCCCTCATTCCTCCAAGCCTTCTGTCAATGGCCTCCCCAAACTGATCGTAGATATTCCCATCCATAGTAGAGGAAATCAGTCCTCTTCTCTCGTCTTCCCGTCTAATAGTACAGAACCTTATAGTGTGGCCTTGTTGGTCACAATGTTGACAGATGGCCGTTCTCCAGTCAAAACGGGACCCCTGACTTCCCTGATCCCCCTGGCCTTGATCCCCTTGGCCTTGATACCCCTGGCCTTGATACCCCTGACCTTGGTACCCCTGGCCTTGATTCCCTTGGCCTTGGTATCCCTGGCCTTGACTCCCTTGGCCTTGGTACCCCTGGCCTTGGCCATTCCATTGCCTTCCTCTTCCGCCGCCATTCCTGCCTCGCCCCCTTCCTCCACCCCTCCCTCCGTTGCCTTGATTGCCCTGCCCCTGGTTCCCACCTCCTACAACACTGCCCTGTGAACTGGGATCAGGTGACGGTGGCGGGGCCACAGGTTGGGCCTGGGCCGCGGGGTAGATGGGTGGTTTGCGGTCCGGCTACTGGTGGCGGGCTTCCCTATGGCACAATTGCATTGATCATCGACTAGGGCCACTGTGCGTAGGAGGCCACCCCACCTTGCGAGGGGCCCGTACTATATGATGGAGCCGCCACAAATAAAGGGGCTGCTGCCTGGGCCTGAGGCGCCTGCGCTTTTCTTGATCCCTGTCCGCCCTGCGCCTCGTCAACTCGACGGCCTCCGACGCTGTGAGTAGCCCCATGAAGATGGCGCACTGTGCTTCCTCCGAAATCCCATGGACCTTCCGCGCCCTCTTCTTAAATTCTTGAACAAAGGCCCCTATAGTTGTAAGATCCTCTTTGTTCATCGCTTCAAGGTCCGTGGTAGTCAACAACCCGTCTCCCAGGCGGTATTTCCTCTGCATCCCCTCCTTGAACCTCTCCCAACTACCTTGAGCCGCATCTATGACTTTCTTCACCTCCTGATGCTAGCCGTGGAGGACATACTCAAGGATGCGTTGAAACTTTACAACATCCGACCGCCCGACCAAAGCTTGTTCCACCTGCTCTAGCTATTCTGAGACTCTCTCCCCACAGAAATGGAAAGTATCGACCTTTGGGATGTTGCTCGGGTTCCTTTTATGTCGGTCGATGGCCGCGATGAGGTCATCGAGTGTCAGACCCTTTTTGGGAGCAACTGATGCGCCGCCAGTCTCAAGCATCTTGACAGCCTCTTCTTTTCAAGTTCCTTGGCAAAAGAAAACAAGCACATCCCCTTATTCAACATTATACCTTGACCGGTCTATTCCATCCGTCCTACCTAACCCTTAGTACTTACTTTACCCAAATGTTAACACGATCGTCCTTCATACTTCCTCTACTTGGGTAGGTAAATTTCCTCACCTATACTTAGTCATTCATATATTCCTTCATTACCTTCTCATCACTCCTTTATGCCTTTTCTTATTCACTTCTCATACCCGGATGTCGTTCCACCAGGGATTACTATAGGCTTTTCGTTATCCCCGGCAACGGCGCCACTTGTCGGGCGCATCGGTCCGGCACCGCACGGGGGCAGCGAGGGACCCTCCCGGTTGCGTCATGCAGGAGTTGGTTTTTAAAACCCTTCGTCGCAATATACATGGAGCTTCCACAAGCCGCTCCGGCCGAGTGCGCCAGCCATACCTCTCGCGAGCCCCAACAACAGGATAGGGCCTACGCGAGGCACAACTTACCTACACCTTACGGGAGCTGTCACCTCCCTTCGGTGGGCGTATCCCCGGCGAGCTACCAGCCCACAGTACGAAAGCTAGTCAGTTGCAATCGCAGAGGTGGACCAGCCGAGGGCGTTTCTCTTTCGTTGTAGCATAGGGGGTACGCGCGGTAATACGCCTCTATCGAACCCGCACGCGAATCGGCATCTTGGGGGGGCTGAGGTCCCAATCGCGACCCATCGTCGGTCCACTAGGACGAATCCCACACACCACGCGCACTCCACTTTACGAATACACATGCACACAAACAACACATATACGAGACAACACAACACAAACAACGCGACAACGCTCCTAGCCCCTTGGTAGCCAACCCATAACTTTTCAACGCGGAAATCGAATAGGCATCGCGCGCGAGACTAGGTATAAGACCGCGCGGATGTAGGGCTATCGCATATCAACTTGCAATGCAATTGTACGCAAGCAGTCGCAATGATGGCGTACTATGTAGTGCCCATAATCAAGCGGCCCCTCGTGAAATCGAGTACCGCTTATGACACTCGAGTGTCTGACTTGAAGTGTCGTGAAGGCCTAACCCTTCATGACATTGCACGACTGAAGGAATAGCCATGCAGCCGCCGCGATACCTCCGGCTCTTGGCCTGAGTGTCTCGGTAGGCAAATCAAATAGGCTTTGCGCGAGGGAAAACCCCTCCCCTGCAGAGCCTAGGGCTTGGGATGTCCTGGACAAGGACCTCGAATCCCGGCCCAGGACCAAACGTCCGACTAAGAAAATTATTGAAAAGCAGGAACAAATATAGAAATAGGGGTCTCCCCTAAGTTCCTTTGTCCCAGCTTTTGAGTGGGGCTTTAATATGGGGACTCTTCAGCCCATGCAAACATTCATCCCAAGTATACCCATGTATACGTATATAAGGGTTAAGTATGTGACGATTACTTTTTACGGTCTCACTGGGGTTTCTCACAATAATACGTATATGTGTGATCGCAGGCAACCAAATCCAGAATCTGACTCACAACACATACCTGCAGTCACATCAACGAACCAAATCAACAACCCACACAATACACGGAGTCAATCCCAACCACCTTCGACACTCATACCCGTCGCTTTAGTCATACAAGCCCCAAAACCTCCTGTCCAACCAACCTTAATTAAATACTCAGTACCTTTGTTAAATAGCCATTCAATAAAAGTCCGGGTAAAAACCTTAATAAAACAACGAAGATCACCAGGGCTAAAGCCTTTTAGGTTGAGTGTGGAGGGAGAGTTGAAATTGAGTCGTAGACCGACGAATCGACAACTGACCTATTATCAGTGATAACAGAAAGTGATCCTCAAAAGGATCAAGCTGGATCTAGCCCTGAACTTGAAAAAAAGGCCTGTAACACACGGCAGACCAATCCCCAAGCTAAGATCATAAGTGTATGGAGAATACAACTTCATAATTCATTCTTGCTCAAAATCTCCCTAAAAGCTAAACCTTAGCCTATTTTTAAGTCAATGTTTAGGCTTAGGGTAAACCAACTGCAGAATCTCCCTTATTTTGGGTGGGTCGCATGAATCGCCACCTGTCAAAATATAGTCTATCTCCTTTAAACTAAGAAAATTTCGGCAGCGCTTCCCGTAAAAAAAGTATCTCTCCAGAATTTATATAAGTCTAAATATGAAAAAAATATAAATAATTTCTAACTCTGGAAAGCCAAATTTTGTCCAACTCCCTGAATTAGTAGAAATTTGGGCAGCATCCCCTCTAGAAACGGAGACTTTCCAGATTTATACTAAGTCAGATATACAGCAGAAAAATAATCTCTAACTCCTGGAAAGTCAAAACTTGTCTAACTCCCTGATTTAGTAAAAATTTGGGCATCATTCCCTTTACAAAGGGAGACTTCCCAGATTTATACTAAGTCAGGTTTGAACTCACAAGACAAACTTGAATCCAATTTAGATAAGATTTAACTAACTCCTCAGTTTTGCAGAAATTTCGGCAACACTCCCTCTAGAAAAGTGTTATTCGAAAATTTATACAAGACTAAGTTCAGATTTTGAAAGTAACTTTGGCTTCTCAAAGTTCAATTTTGTCTAACTCCCTGAATTAAGAAAAATTTGGGCAGCACTCCCTCTAGAAAAGGAAACTTCCCAGATTTTAACTAAGCCAGATATATGGAAAGGACAAATTGAACTTTGATAACTCAAAAGTTGACTAACTTCTTGGATTTGTAAAAATTTAGGCAGCGCTTCCCGTAGGAAAAGTAGCTTGCCAGATTTATACAAAGCCAAGTATAAGAAAAGATCCCAGAAAATGCAGGTATTAACACTAACTCCTATGGCTCTAGCACGTGGCGAGCAACTAAAGCAACTACCTATAGAACTGAAATTCAAACAAACCAGCCATCCCATCCAGTCACATGCAAACCAAACCACAATGCAAGTACTCTCATCATCCCAAGTTCATTTCATATAAGTAGCTCGTGAATCTTCAAGTTCTTAAACCCTTATACCCATCTTACATAAGACATAGAGCTGGACCATTCGCCATGGAAACAAAGCCCTTATACTTAGTTTAAATTATGTGCGCGGTTATCAGGCTAAACCATTCACCATGGAAACAATGCTTAGCCTTAGACAAAAAATCCTCCCTCAGAATAAACAAAAATTTAAACCCCTTCAATCCGACAAACTCTCAGAGTTAACTAAGGTAGCCAGGCCATTCACAGTAGAAACAATGTCTGGTTCCTTGGAAAACAATCAAATAAAACACAGCGACCAGTCCATTCACAGAAGAAACAATGACTGGTCCTTCAAAAAACAGCCAAATAAACATAGCCCTGAGCCATTCACAGTAGAAACGCGGGTGCAAATAAACAATGCCTGGGGAAAAATAATTAAAACAAGGTCTATTCGTCAAGATCTCGATCTTGACGGTCAAGAATATTGGCATAACTAGTGCAAGCGCTAGCGGGAGCAAACGGGAAAACCAAAAGTAAAATAAAAAGTAAAGAAACATGGGGGAGGAGACATGAGAGCAATCTGAAAAATCTCGAATTAGCCCCCCTCAAGAAAATGGAGTCAAAATAGACTCCATACGAAAAATAGGCCTCTAGGAGAAAATTGGAGTATGAGGGGTCACTGTGTGGGAGAAATAAAGATAAAAGGAAACTCCCATTGGGAATGAGGAAGCCATTTAATTTATTGCAGTGCGAGAATTAATGGACCGCACCAGGGGTATAGGGAGGGTCAAAACTAAGAGGGAAAACCTAGAAAAAGGGCCTTAACGGTCACTTGACACTTGACATGCTGGAAAAAGAAAGAAAAAGAATAAAACAAAAGGAGTGAGAGGAAGTGAGTGAGTTGGCCGTCGGTAGGGACTGCCACAGGTA